AGCAGCCAGGGCCACCGCCGCTCAGGTCCCACGACCAGTTCTGGGGAGTGGCGCACGCCGCGCCGCAGTAGAGGGTCCAGCTCGCCGTCGGGAACGCCCTGATGCAGTCCATGGTGCTCCTCCTCGCGGCGCACCTGGTGGCAGGCACGGCAGGGTGGTCGGAGCACCCGATCCCGTGCAGCTGGCGGCTGGCAGCCGTCACATCGTGGACATGGGAGCCGTGGCTCGCGCTGCAGTCGGCGCCGTGCACCACGACCACCGACTTCGACCAGTGCGAGCACGGCCAGCTGAGCAGGGCCCCGACCAGACTTTTCGGGCTCCGCATGGCGGGGCTGCACCGCCGCCTGGTTGCGACGCCCGGGGGAGGAAAATGCTCGTGGGTCCCACGGGCCAGAGGCCCACGCCACACTGCTAGGGCGCGAGGATGGATCCAGGGCCTTCCGGACCGCGCGGAAGAAGGTCTACCCCCCTGGCCTCTGCCGCTGCATCGCGGAAAGCATTCTGTAGACGCTCGAATCGGCTCTGGACGAAGCGCTCCCGGAGGCGCCTAGTGATGATTCCCTGTCTCACCACCTCCTCGTGCAGGGCCTGGCGGATTTTTATGTCTCAGAGATCCCAGTGGTTGAGGACGGGGCCAGGGAGTTGGGCCCCGGACTTTGCGAGGGGAAAGGGCCGCAATAGGCCTGACCCAGAGAGGGGCCGCTTTGAGGCCCCAGCCACTCCTGGCCAGGACCCCCCAGGCCCCTCCCAGGATCCTGAAGACAGCCAGGGCCCCACAGAAGAGGAGGCCTACGCTGCTGAGGTGATCGGAGTCTCTCCCCTCCTCTGTCCCCCGACCCCGCCTCCTCCTCCGCCTCTCCCTCCCCGAGGGCGCAGGATAGCCGAGAATAAGGCCAAGGCCCAGCGGATACGGCAAGAACGCCGTAGGCCGTGGGCCTCCAGGGGCCTAGACCTGCGACTCGCGTGGGGAGCCCCAAAGGGCTGCCCCATGCAGGAGAGCCCCTGCGGGGCTCGGGCGGACTTGCCAAGGAGCGGGTCGGCCTGGGCCCAACAAATCTTCGGAAGGGCCTGACAAGGGATCGGGCCCGCCACACTCTCCACCTGGCTACAGGCCAGGTCGGAGCCGGCCCACTATAAGGGCCACTGCACGTCGGCATCGACAAGACGCAGAGTTCCACCACCACCTCCTCCTCCTCCTCCTCCTCCTCCTCCTCCTCCTCCTCCTCCTCCTCCGCCTCCTCCGCCTCCGCCTCCGCCTTCGCCTCCGCCTCCGCCTCCTCCTCCGCCTCCTCCTCCTCCTCCTCCTCCGTAGCCATTTTTCGCTCAAGGCGCGGCGGCTCCCAGAGTCACTCGGGCGCGCGGGGCGCGCGGTCAGGTTGCGGCATGGGGCGAGGCATCCCAGTGCGGCACGGCAGCACTATCGCCCACGTTGCCACGGCCAAGGAGGCGGCGGAGATCATGGAGCGGCTCGCCAGGATGGACTCGGGCGCGACCCAGGAGGCCATCAACGGGAGCGAGCACCTGACACACTTCCAGAAGGTGCTCCGCGAAGCGGGTGCCATCCTCAAGTTGGACAAGAAGATCACCTCCGAGGACGTGCGGTCGGCGCTCGTCCGCAAGGGAGCGGCGGACGTGGCGAAGCAGTTCGTGTTGTGGCGGGACGAGCGGCGGGCGGTCGCGCACCCGCCAGGTCGCATCGCGTCCCAGGTCTTGGCGGCGCTGCGCCGCGCACCGGTGGCCGAGGTGGCCAAGACGGAGGAGCGGGACGAGTCGGAGATCGAGGAGTACGCGGACGGCTCGACGGAGTATGAGGACACGTCTGAGAAGGGACAATCCACGGACACCGACAAGGAGAAGGCCTCCCTGGAGGCAGCCATGCGCCAAGCGACCTGGAAAAAGGACCAGAAGAAGTTCGAGCTGGACCAGGCGGCTGTGGAGCTGCAGCAGGCGAAGCACCGCCTCAAGGAGGCCCAGGAGAAGCACGACGCGGCGCTCGAGGAGGCGGCGGACGCAGAAGAGCAGCAAGAGGCCACCCTGAAGGCCCAGGGGTTCGACGTCCACACCGAGGCAGACGGCAAGGAGGGGTCCAACACCGAGGACGGCGAAGCGGAGCACAAGGGGAAGACGAGCAAACCCGAGGAGGACTACCAGGAGCACGAGAAGGTCGGCAACTGCGTGGGGAAGGAGAGCATCGTAAGCCTCTCACTCGCCACCGAGACCGCGAAGACGTTGCAGCAGCTGGAGTCCGCGCTGGAGGAGTTCCAGGACAACTGGTGCAAAACGTAAGCGGGGCTCGTGGCGCACACTGTGCTTGGCACTTGTGGACCCCTGGCCCTCGGGGCTGCGTGGGGGTGCAAAGGTAACCGCGCTTCCCCTGGGGCGGCTTCGGGTTGGCGCCGTGGGGGCGCAGTGCAAGCACTATTTGAACGGTGCGGGGGCCCGTCGGGGTGCCTTGCAGGGGCTGTCGCCCCCCTGCATGGACCCGAAAAAAGGTCTGGAAGGCCTCCGCACCCGTAAGAGCGAAGAGGAGGGGACTGTGTCCCAACCCAAAGGTTCCAAAGGTTCCTCCTCCTCCTCCTCCTCCGTAGCCATTTTTCGCTCAAGGCGCGGCGGCTCCCAGAGTCACTCGGGCGCGCGGGGCGCGCGGTCAGGTTGCGGCATGGGGCGAGGCATCCCTGTGCGGCACGGCAGCACTATCGCCCACGTTGCCACGGCCAAGGAGGCGGCGGAGATCATGGAGCGGCTCGCCAGGATGGACTCGGGCGCGACCCAGGAGGCCATCAACGGGAGCGAGCACCTGACACACTTCCAGAAGGTGCTCCGCGAAGCGGGTGCCATCCTCAAGTTGGACAAGAAGATCACCTCCGAGGACGTGCGGTCGGCGCTCGTCCGCAAGGGAGCGGCGGACGTGGCGAAGCAGTTCGTGTTGTGGCGGGACGAGCGGCGGGCGGTCGCGCACCCGCCAGGTCGCATCGCGTCCCAGGTCTTGGCGGCGCTGCGCCGCGCACCGGTGGCCGAGGTGGCCAAGACGGAGGAGCGGGACGAGTCGGAGATCGAGGAGTACGCGGACGGCTCGACGGAGTATGAGGACACGTCTGAGAAGGGACAATCCACGGACACCGACAAGGAGAAGGCCTCCCTGGAGGCAGCCATGCGCCAAGCGACCTGGAAAAAGGACCAGAAGAAGTTCGAGCTGGACCAGGCGGCTGTGGAGCTGCAGCAGGCGAAGCACCGCCTCAAGGAGGCCCAGGAGAAGCACGACGCGGCGCTCGAGGAGGCGGCGGACGCAGAAGAGCAGCAAGAGGCCACCCTGAAGGCCCAGGGGTTCGACGTCCACACCGAGGCAGACGGCAAGGAGGGGTCCAACACCGAGGACGGCGAAGCGGAGCACAAGGGGAAGACGAGCAAACCCGAGGAGGACTACCAGGAGCACGAGGAGGTCGGCAACTGCGTGGGGAAGGAGAGCATCGTAAGCCTCTCACTCGCCACCGAGACCGCGAAGACGTTGCAGCAGCTGGAGTCCGCGCTGGAGGAGTTCCAGGACAACTGGTGCAAAACGTAAGCGGGGCTCGTGGCGCACACTGTGCTTGGCACTTGTGGACCCCAGGCCCTCGGGGCTTCGTGGGGGTGCAAAGGTAACCGCGCTTCTCCTGGGGCGGCTTCGGGTTGGCGCCGTGGGGGCGCAGTGCAAGCACTATTTGAACGGTGCGGGGGCCCGTCGGGGTGCCTTGCAGGGGCTGTCGCCCCCCTGCATGGACCCGAAAAAAGGTCTGGAAGGCCTCCGCACCCGTAAGAGCGAAGAGGAGGGGACTGTGTCCCAACCCAAAGGTTCCAAAGGTTCCTCCTCCTCCTCCCCCTCCCCCTCCTCCTCCTCCTCCTCCTCCTCCTCCTCCTCCTCCTCCTCTTCCTCCCCCTCCCCCTCCTCAGACCCCCAGCCTGCTCCCATTGGGGGCGGCAAACGTGGACTAGCGATCCATGGATTCCGGTGCCGCCTCGCTCGGCGGCGGAAATCCGCGACTTCCCATGGAAACGGAACCCGTCGCTAATCGCAGGTCGGGCATGTCCTCCCACAGGCGGATTATGCACGAAAAATAAAAATAGTCAAACAACTCAAACAATTGTTGTTAAACAATAATATCAAAATTGTCCCCGGTGCCCTCCCCAGAATGCGGCTGGTGCCGCCTCGCTCGGCGGCGGAAATCTGCGACTTCCCATGGAAAAGGGACCCGTCGCTACTCCACGCCCCCTTGATTCATGTTTGCGATCGCCTGACACACGGGCACGGGCTGCTGTCGGCCTTGCCTTTGGACCAAAGGCAAGGCCGACAATGGTGGCCCCGCGGCGACGTCCTCCCCCCGGAAGGCAGGGGCCGCTCGCGAAGAGCGGGGCGGGCCAAAAAGGTCACTACACCGACCTGGCAGACGCGCTGCAGCGGAGTTCTGCGTGGATCCTGCCAATGCAGAACCCCGAAACGGCGAGCGAAAACATAACGAACATCACGTGGATTTTGTTGTAACCTTGGCTCCTGGCCAAAACAAAAATCCGCACGAAACTTACTCCGAAATCCGGAACGAAATCCTCCAGGACCATCCGGGCCCACCCCACTGCTTTCCGAACGGAATCCGCTCTGCGATGTTGGCGCCATGACAAAGGGGGGGGGAGAACCGAAAGACGCGGTCAACGGATCGTCTGGAATTCCCAGCGCCTCCCAGCGCCCGAAGCGGCCACACTGGAGCAGGAACTGACCGTCCCGTCATTCCTATGCGCCTGCCACGAGATTTCCTTAGAACAAAAGAACGGTGCGATAACACAGCCATGTTCTTAGAGCATGCAGCCGACGTTTGACCCACGACGGATTCAGGCAGACATGTCTGAACAACACTTCGTGCAAACCACAAGCGGTGTCTCTTCTTACAAGGTCCATTCAAAACGAGGGTCACAGGCTGCCAGGAGAGAGCCTCCACTCAGTCCGGAGCCAGGGTTCAACGCAACTACCTGGCTCACTGCTGGGAGGCGTAGGACCTCACGCGCTGCAGGCACTTCGCCATGTCCCTCTGCACAACTGTCCGGGTCTTGGCATCGACGTTCGACTTCATGAGCCCTGCGAGGGTGGGGACGTCCTTGTAGCCCCAGGCGGTCAGCTGGTCCAGAATCTCCTGTGCTGGCGTACCAGCGCGCTCCAGCCACTCCGGAATCAGCTCGATGGTCATGAAGCACGGGGGGTACTTGGTAAACAGGGTATTGGAGCCTCGGATGAACCTGCCCTCGTAGCCCTCGATGTCGACCTTGGCGATCACGATGGCCTTCATGGCTGGGTTGTGATAGAGCATATGGTCACCGGTGGTGAGAGGCACAGAGAACTCCTTCACCACAACCTTCTGGGCGTACTTCTGTGCCTTCTTGCCCGGGTGGAACAAGTCCTGCAACTGGTCGTCGGTCATGTTGGTGAAGGGCTTGTTGCCCTTGACGGCAGAGCCGCCCTTGTTGACAGGGTTGAGTGACATGGTCACCGTCCTCGGATCCCCGGACGCGCCCACGGCGTAAGGGTACACGTCCACGTTCTTCAGCCTGCTGTCCAAGATGCCTGCCACGAGGTGGTCCGCGGTGGGCGGCATCCCCTCCACGGCGAGCACTCGTCCGCCGCCTCCGAGGCAGTCCGCCAAAGGAATGGCGAAGGTGCCGATGTTGGCCCCGATGTCGAGGAAGTTGCCCACGGCGCCGCTCTCGCGGTAGAGGCGGCACAGATCCTTGACGTGCCGGGTCTCCCACCTCGGTGGTTCACTGGTCCTGACCTCCTCCTCCTCCTCCTCCTCCTCCTCCTCCTCCTCCTGCTCCTCCACAGGAAGGGATCCAAGGGTGGCTTCACATCCTTTGAGGCACCTCGTCCTCAAGACCCCCTCCCTCAGGACCCCAGCCCTTGAACCCCCGACCGCCCGTTCCCCGCGAGGAGCTCGGCGGACACCATCGAGTCCTCCCAGCGGCCGAACGCGGCGATGCTGAGGTTGTAGTCGCCCACGAGGCTCCGGACCTCGGCGTGGTGGAGCGTGCTCGCCTCCACGGTGCGAGGGCCGTTGGCCCAGGCGGCGAGGTCCGCGGGCCTCGGGCTTCCCACCGGGTTTTCCTCGCTCGCCCGGGCGAGGCCCCGCGGGGCCGGCGGCGACAGCGTGAGGGCCGCGGCGATGGGCCCACTGGCGGCGCATGCCGCGGCGGCAAGCCGGAGGGGGGCCATCGTCGGGGTCGGCCGCCCACGTGCGCGCGCGGGAGGGGCGTTTCGCGGCGAAACGCCGCCCGGCCACGGAACGGGTACGGTCTCTGGCGGGCCGCCTGGGCCCAAACGGCTACGGTCAGGTCGGGCAGGTCCTCCTACAGGCGGGCTCTGGAGGCAAAATCAAACAGAGCCAAGCCAGAATCAAGAGTGGCCGAGCACGGCAGGAAGATCGCCCCCGTGCCATTTCTTGACTGCCTTTGGATATCCCTCCTGGAGGGGGACACGCCCGACGCGAGGCTGCGGCGGACCATCTTGGTCCAAAGGGGTTCTCAGCATCTGCGCGGGCGGCCCGGGTGGGCAAGCCAGGGCGCCTCGCCGCTGCTCGGCACACATGCGAGGAGTGCGCCCGGCGGCGGGGCCGAAGCCAGCTGCATTCCATGGGCGAAGAGCGATACAGTCATACCGTACAGGAAAAATGCGGGATGAGCATCCTCCCCCTCCTCCTCCTCCTCCTCCTCCTTCTCCTCCTCCTCCTCCTCGTCCTCCCCTCCTCCTCCTCCTCCCTCCTCCTCCTCCTCCTCCTCTCCTCCTCCCCTCCTCCTCCTCCCTCCTCCCTCCTCCCCCCTCCTCCTCCTCCTCCTCCTCCCTCCTCCTCCTCCTCCTCCTCCTCCTCCTCCTCTCCTCCTCCTCCTCCTCCCCCTCCTCCTCCTCCCCTCCTCCTCCTCCTCCTCCTCCTCCTCCTCCTCCTCCTCCTCCTCGTCCTCCTCCTCCTCCTCCTCCTCCTCCTCCTCGTCTCCCTCCTCCCCCCCCTCCCCTCCCCTCCATCCTCCTCCTCCCCCATCCCCCTCCTCCTCCCCTCCTCCTCCTCCTCCTCCTCCTCACTCCTCCTCCTCCTCCTCCTCCTCCTCCTCCTCCCCCCTCCTCCTCCTCCTCCTCCTCCTCCTCCTCCTCCTCCTCCTCCTCCTCCTCCTCCTCCTTCCACAGTGCGGCCAAAGAAACTGGCCAACGATGGATCGAGGAAGCAAGGACGCAAAGGTGCCCTTGGGAAGGTTGCCCACCCTTAACATGCGGGTTGACGGTGCAACATAAATTGTGTCGCTGTCGGGCGCGCCTGTCCCAGGGCAGCTGGGAAATTCACACCATTGCGGTGGAACGTCAAGGCATGCGCTTTCCGGCCGCCCCGGGACAAGCGCCCCCGGCGGCGAAATAGTTCATGCTCTAATGAAGGGAAACGATTAAAACAACTTTCTGGGGCGGACGATTCGAACAATCGTTTCGCGGGCCTCCTCGCCTCCGCAATAGCGGGGGGGCAGGGCAGGCAAACGGATGGCTGACAATTCCGGGTTGCCTGGAAGGCCAGGGGGGGGCACGGGGTGGCGATCCAGGGCGCGGGGGCCAGGGGGGGGGGACGGGGTGATTTTTCAAGGCGAGCTCGTCCTCCTCCTCCTCCTCCTCCTCCTCCGCCTCCTCCTCGTCCTCCTCCTCCTCCTCCTCGTCCTCCTCTTCCTCCTCCTCGTCCTCGTCCTCCCCATTTTCCTCCTTCTCCTCCTCCAGAAAATTCTGGCGGAGAAAAGCATAGCGGGCGGACCGTCTGCGGCGACGAAGGGGGCAGCTGTTCAGGGAAACCAGAAGACCCTCGCCCGCCCCTCCCTTCTCGCGATCTGAGCCTGAGGGAAGCGTCGAAAGGGGCCAGGCGCCCTCACTCGTTCGATGCGCCCCTCGTTCCTCGTGGCGAAACCCAGGGAGACGATGAATGCGTGTGGCAAGGAGAGCGCAGGCAGGATATGGAGATAATGAATCACGCGGCGGTTCCCGCCCCGACGTCCTCGCAATTGAGGAGGAGGAAGAATAAGTAAGAGGAGGAGGCGGAGGAGGGGAGGAGGAGGAGGAGAAGGAGGAGGAGGAGTGCTCACGTGCCACGTCGTGCTCTGCCATGCTACGCTTTGATCTTCAACGCCATGTTATGCAATGTTATGTTCGGGGCCGCTGTGCGATGCCATGCTTTGCGTTGCAAAGATTTGTGAGGCAATTCTTCACTACGCAACGCCACGCCATGCTGTGACATACTACGCTTCGCGGTGCTCTTCAACGCCATGCCACGCCGTGCTCTATAATGCATCGCGTACCCTTTCGGCATCGTTGCCCTGCTCGACATCCGACTGACCGAATAGAAAGGGGATCTACACCATGGTAAGGGATGGGAGGGAGGGGTCGGCTGTCATATATGACGCGAGCGCACCTAGCTTGTCCTCCTCCCTCCTCCTTTTCCTTCTCCTCCTCCTCCTCCTCCTCATCATCATCATCATCATCATCATCATCAGCATCATCATCATCATCATCATCATCATCATCATCATCATCATCATCATCATCATCATCATCCCCCACCTCCCAATCGCCGCGGCCGTCCGCAAGGACGACCGGCGGCCGTCCGCAAGGACGAAGGTGATCAAACGCCTCTTCGAAAACGCCTTCCCTCAACTACTTCCTAATTGCCCCGTCCCCCATCCGCAATCCTCCCCCCGCAGCCGCGGGTGATCAAGCGAGCGAATGAGGACGAATAGAAAATCAGTTCCCACAAAGGGGCAAAAGCAAACGCCGGGGGGCGGACGATTACAAAAACAGTTTCTGTCGGCAGAAGTCTATGAGTCCGCCCCACTCAATCATTTTGGGGGGTCCGGGGGGGGGGGGCGATTTGTTTAATCGTTTCCCTTCATTATCGTGATTCGCCCGTTAACGCATGCGGCCGAACTCGCCCGCCCCCACGCTCCCATCCCCCAGGTTTTGGGAGCGGCCACGAGGGGGGTGTCCAAAAGGGGGGGGTGCAAATCATGACCGGCGGCATGTGCGCGGCCAGCGGGGGGGGCCAGGGACGTAATGAAACAAGAAGAGGCGCCATACAATCTAGGGAAATATCATGGCCCCCGCCATGATATCCCCCCCCATAGTCATCACCCCCCTCTTTTCCGCCCCCGACATCCCTCTGGTTGCCGTTTGGCCTCCGCCTGGAGTGATCCTCGTCGTCTGGTTGTAGGGCAGCAGCTCGGGTCTCTGGCGGCCGTTCGGGACGATCCGGGCATCCCTTGAGAGCCCTCGGCGAGGCTCAGCTGCTAGAGAGCACCACGAGCCTGGAGAACCACGGAGACGAACAGGCCCAAGACCCCAACCCCTCCAGTCCCACTGTCAACCCCTTCTGTACAAGACATTTGAAGGGGCCCTGGGACACACACACACACACATAAATACACACAAATAAAAGGATTCCCCATACTTTCAATCATTTGCTGGGTCTTTGTCTTCCCCCCCACTTCCCATATTTTCAAACATTTTCTAGGGAATCGACGATTAATTGTGTCTGTGTGTTTTCCCCTCCCTGCACATTAAGATAGAACTGGCTCATGGTTGGGAAACATTGAGCAGGAATCGGCGACACATCTCCGAGAGGTCGGCGAGAAGGGCCCCGAGAGCAACACCGCACGTTCCCGGGCGGGGTGGGCTGTCGGGCCCTTCTCGGCGATGAGTTGGCGACTGGGGGTTGATGCGTTCCTCCCCTACGCGTATCCCCCCCCCAGGCATGCGACGTCTTGACTTTTCACTGCGCGGCCTCCTGAAATCCCGACTCGTTCCCTGGAAGATCCGCCCTTCACCGTGAGGAGCCGTGGTTTCACGGTCCCGAGGCCCTGCGATGGCCCCCCGAGGCCGGAAATGGCCCAAAGCTTCCAGTTGTGATTTTTGTTCCCGACGCGATCACGCCTGGGCTTAAGTCGGGCCTGTCCCCCTACAGGGGGCTTTTCGACGACAAATAACAAATACCCCAAACATAAGTAGTCAACAAATAGGCCCCAAACAGTCCGGGGACTATTCTTTGAGACTTTGAACAATTTTTCGTCGAAAATCCCCCTGTGGGGCATTTTTTGGGGCATTTTTTAAAAATGTTTCGTCGAAAATCCCCCTGTGGGGGGACACGCCCGACAGAAGCCTGGGCCCCTGTCGTTGCCTCTGCGCCTCCACGGTCCGAGGGCCGTCGGACCAGGCGGCGAGGCCCGCGGGCCTCGGGCCTCCCACCGGGTGCTCCTTCGGGGAGGCACGAGACCCGGGCTCGCGGGACTCGCGCTGGCCCCACGGGGCCGTCGCAAAGACAACGAGGCCGGGCCTGAAACTGGACGCGAGCTCCCGCTGCAGGCATCCCACGGAAACTGGGCCGTCACCATCCCACGAGCACTGAGCCCCTGTCTCGGGGGCGGCCAAGAGGGGGGCGTCCCAGAGGGGGGGGGGGCGCAAATCATGACCGGCGGCACGTGCGCGGCCCAGCGGGGGGCCCAGGGACGCAATAAAAATAAGAAGAGGCGCCATGAAGTCTGTGGAAATATCGTGGCCCCCGCCAGGAGGTCCACCCCCCCGGAGTCTGCACCCCCCTCTTTGCCGCCCCCGACTGTCGTGGCCCCTGACCTTGTCGCCCGACCCGCAGGAGGGAAGGCTGGCCGAGCCCCGCGCCGGGACCACCAGGTAGGCTGGGTCCCCCGGCAGCGGCGGCGGCGCCGCGCTCTTCGTCAGGCCGCCGGCGTCCGCGGGTGGGCCGCAGTCCGGCTGACGAGGGGGGGGCTGCTCCTCCTCCTCCTCCTCCTCCTCCTCCTCCTCCTCCTCCTCCTCCTCCTCCTCCTTCTCCTCCTCCTCCTCCTCCTCCTCCTCTTGCTCCTGCTCCCCCTCCTCCTCCCTCCCTCCTCCTCCTCCTCTCCTCCTCCTCCTCCTCCTCCCCCTCCTCCGCCTCTTCTAGCCTCCGCCTTCCTCCTCGTCCTCCTCCTCCTCCTCCTCCGCCTCCTCCTCCTCCTTCTCGCAGTGGGGGCCCGACCGCAAGAAACCTTCCACCGGAAACCCAACCCTGAGGCCCCAGGGCGTCCATCGACTTCTGGTGTGGGAACGCCACGCTTTCCATGGACAAAGCCGCCGGAACCCGAGGAACCCAAGGCACCCTGGAGGCAAGCAGGGTGCTTCTTGGCGTGGGCGTCCACTGTAGAAAAGTCCGAACGCTCCTCCTCCGTCCTCCTCCGGAGAGGATCAATACGGCAGCGAATCGGGATATCGGATCGGGTCGCAAAATGCGACGGATTCAGTCGGACCGGCTGCGCCAGGATGCACAGCAACGCCATGCGGGCATCGGGCCGCACCGCAACGTCGGAACATCGGAATCGAACCGGATCGCGCCAGCCAGACTCGATATCGAATCGGACTGACCGGATCGAAATGCACCCTGGGGTGGTTCACGCTGAAGCGCCCAAGCGCGCCGCGAACGAGCGAATACCCCCCCAAAGCTGGCCCCAAGGAGAAGTCAAGGAAAACTCCGCGCCAGGATGGCCCAAGAGGCCTCCACGAGGGACCGAAGACTGCCCAGGTGGTCCTAAAAACGGCGCAGGAGGCCCCCAAGAGGGCCCAAAGGGCCCCCCAGAAGGAACCCAAAGGAGGAACACGAAGGGGCCCTCGGAGCTTTTCCCAGAGATCCGCCGGCCCACTGGGGGGCCGACAGGCTGCGAGGCGGATGCGTGCCTTTCCCCACCGAAAGTTCCGGTGCGGAGGTTTCTAATACCTTTTGGCTCCAAGGCTTACATGGTTGAGGCCCGCGAGAAAACCCTGGCCCGAAAAACATCCCACTACGACGTCTGAGCCACATCCTCGAGCTTTAAACGGGGGGGCAGACACGTACTACAAATAGCTGCGCCCTCGAAGCCACGACATCACCCTGCAAATTACAACGAATTCGCACTCCCGAAGCCAACGCTCCCTAGTACATTACTACACACTCGCGTTGCCGAACCCACCACCCCCTACCACATTGCCTTTGCCTACATCCACTGGGCCTCACACCTTCCCGAGGATTTGTTGAACAAATCTGGACCCCTCGCTTTCAAATCTCCAGGGGCTTAGCGCGTGTCCCCTGGGCTCCCCCGCATCTTGTCGCGTGACTTTGTCGGACCCGAGAGGGCCCCACGACAGGCCGAAACAACCTCGAGAGGCCCACCAAGACGGTCCAAGATGGTTCCGGGTCGCCGAACGATCGCTTCCAGACGCTCGAGATGGCCCCCAGACGGCCCAAGAGGACTCCAAGACACCCCAAGAGGTTTCCAAGAGGCCTCCCAACAGACAAGTGCAACTTGTTTCCTTAAGTTTGACTCCGGGGGAGAAGCGGGCACGGAGGGGAGACGAGGGGCCCAGGCGTGGACCGGTGTGAGGGGGGTTTGGGGCCCACCGGCCCACACTCATGCTCCAGGGCGCAAAGGCGTAGATGCGCCGTGCGCCACCTTTTATTTGCATTATAATACACATGGGGGCGGCGAACCCACGATCGCCGATCCGTGTCGTTGTATGATTCCAGCTTGCTTTCACGATGGTTCCGAGAGGTTGGCATGTCACGAAACCCTAGATTTTCACAAGGCTCCTGCTTGATTCCACGATGGTTCCGACGTCGCAAGTGTGACGAAACCCTATGAATTCACTGGGTTCCTGCTTGGTTCCACGATGGTTCCACGATGGTTCCGACGTCGCATATGTGATGACACCCTACGGATTCAAAGTGTTCTTGCTTGGTTCCACGATGTTCCCACGATGGTTCCGACGTTGCGAGTGTGACGGAACCTTTTTTTTTTTCTCCACCTGCAGCGGACTAATGTGTCAGTGCCCTCTCAGCGTGTGCTGTACAGTTGAACGGTTGAGGTATGAGCTCATCTTGAGCCAAATGCCCACCGGTCGGGGGGGCAAATGGTAACCAAACGCCGCGCGACTGCTATCCCACTAAATGGGATCGTTGAGCGTGCTATTTGGTGCCTACTGCTACCCGGACCCCGGGGGTACTCCGTGACACCCAGAGCGGGCAACAAATCATGCCCCCCCTCGAAGGCACGAGGGCGGGGGAGGTATTCCGTGACACCCAGAGCGGGCAACAAATCATGCCCCCCCCTCGAAGGCACGAGGGCGGGGGAGGTATTCCGTGACACCCAGAGTGTGACGAAACCCTATGATTTCAAACGGTTCCTGCTTGGTTCCACGATGGTTCCGACGCAGCAAGCGTGACGACACCTAATGAATCCACAGGAATTCGATGTTGCATGCTCGTTTTTTTTCATGCTGCGTTCTTTTGTCCAATAGACATCTGCCGAGGCACGTGCGGGCTGCTCTGACTGTGCGTTTTCCTGGGGTCGGCTGGCAGCCTCGCGTGCTCGTCGCGGACCGTGGGAACGGCTTCTACAACGCCGGCTCAGGGGCAATCGCCGAGGAGTACCGCGGGGCGTTGAAGCGCCACGACCTGAAGGCATTTTTCCCCGCGGACGCTTCTGTGCAGCCCGGCCAGCTCCAGGAGGTCATGCTCCACGAGACCGCTGTGTCGTGGATGCGGGACAAGCTCACGAACACGCTCCCGCAGCGGTGCTGGGAGGAGACCCTGGAGGCGTACCGCGCCCCGCTGCAGGCCTGCGCAGCGCAAATCAATAGCGCCTGTGACGTCGACGGCCTTTGCCGCGAGCTGCCGTCCAGGGTAAAGGACCTGGGCCGCCGCCAGGGAGATCGCCTCGCCAAGTGATGCGGTTCGTTAAAAAATAGCGCGTGCCCAATTTAAGGAAACTTTCGCACCTGTCTGAAGAGGGCCCCAAGAGGCCCAAATCGCTGATGTTCCCAATGTTTGTGAAGGATTTTGGCGTCGGCCCCCAAGACCGTCCAAAGACGGCCCAGCAGGCCTCCAAGAGGGCCCCCAAACGGCCCAAGAGGGCCCCAAGACGGTCCCAAAGGGTCCCAAAAGAGGAGCACGACCCGGAAATCCGAGCCGTCGGCCCCAAGAGGCGCCCAGGAAGCCCCCAGAAGTCTCCCAGAAGCCCCCAAGAGGCCACCAAGAGGCACAAAGAGGCCCCCAAGAGGCGCAAAAGAGGCCCGAAGAGGCCCCGAAATGGCCCCAAAGAGGCCTCCACACTGCCTCCAAGAGGACCCAGAGATGCCCCCCACGAGATCCCAACGAACATCCAATACGCTTCATACCCACAACCCAAGCACGGTGGCGGGATGGGCCGAATGCAATCAGATACATGGCCGCACTTCCGCGCTCCAGATATCACATTCCTATGCAATCTGCGACCAGCTTGTGCCCCCAGTGCCAGAACCCTTATGAAAACTATTATGCGTTCGCGCCCCCAGGGACACACTCCAATTGAATGGCAATGAATTCGCGCTCCCCTGGCCACAACTCCTTGTCAAGCACTCTGCGCTCGCGTTCCGAAGCCGCAGCGTTCCTTCCTACCGAGGCTACAATCCCTTCCAAGCTACAGTGAAACCGCGCTCCACAAGCCACAATACGTTCGCGCTCCCGAAGCCACAACCCCTTGTAAATCATGGCGCGCTCGCGTTCCCGAAGCCACAACCCATTACAGCTTACGACGCGTCCGCGCTCCCGAGGCCACAACAAATGTTGTAAAGTGAAGCACGTTCGCGCTCCCGGGGCCACAATGCCTTGTACAAATCACCGCGCGCTCGCGCTGGCGACCGTGCAACGTTTAAGTGCCCGTCGCCCGATACCACAATCCCATGGAAAGTACAATGTCTTCGCAAGCCTCAGGCCACGACCCCCGATCAACACCCATGCACTCGCGCCCCCGAGGGTACAACCCCGTGTCGAGTGCGACAGGCTCGCGCCCCCGAGCCCACAGCCAGCGGCAGACTGCAGCAACTCTGCGCTCCCAGGGCGACGGACCCACCCTCGTGACGGCTGCCCACAAGCGCTGCCCCCTCTCTCGAGCCGAAAACTAGAATCTTCTGGATCGAGACGTGTGTTTCGGGGGCGGCCAAGAGGGGGGCGTCCAAGAGGGAGGGGGTGCAAATCATGGCCGGCGGCATGTGCGCGGCCCGAGGGGGGGGGCAGGGACGTGATGAAACAAGAAGAGGCGCCATGAAATCTGGGGAAATATCACGGTCCACGCCATGATATCCACCCCCCTCCTAGTCATCACCCCCCTCTTTGCCGCCCCCGAGTGTTGGAGGGGCCCGGTGCGCCCTCCCTCTCTTCCGGGGAACTCTGCGCCGAGCCCGGGAGCGCCCAGTCCTCCACAGCAGCGAGGCGCGCGCGCGCGCTCTGCCGAAGCGGCGGGCCCTCGCAGAGCACCCCGGAAGCGCACTCCCGAGGGCACCGCCCCTCACTGCTTAGAGCAGGCGCGCGAAACGGCCAGCGAACGGCCCCATCGACTGCCAACCATCAATTTTGACAACAAGCCGATCCACCGAGCTGCCAGCCGGCCAACCGACCAACGAAAACAACCTGCCAATCAACCGAGCGTTGTACGGTCTCCCCCGGGGCCGTAGGCGACCCGAGGAGGAGGAGGAGGTGGTGGAGGTGGAGGCGGTGGAGGAGGGGGAGGGGGAGGAGGAGATGGAGGACGAGGAGGCGGAGGAGGAGGAGGAGGAGGGGGGAGGAGGAGGAACAAGAGGAGGACGAGGAGGCGGAGGAGGAGGAGGAGGAGGGGGGGAGGAGGAGGAACAAGAGGAGGAGGAGGAGAGGAGGAGGAGGAGGAGGAGGAGGAGGAGGAGGAGGAGGAAAGAGAGGAGGAGGAGGAGGAGGAGGAGGAGGAGGAGGAGGAGGAGGAGGAAGAAAGGGAGGAGGAGGAGGAGGAGGAGGAGGAGGAGGCGGAGGACGGGTCGCCTAAGCCCTTCGGAGAACCCCCCCACCAAGCGTGGCCATGCAAACGCTCTGAGAGGGGGCCCAATGGCAGAGGGCGAAACCACTCGGCTCCCGCCGCTCCCGCCTGCGATTTGGGTTAAGTCGGGCGTGTCCCCCTGCAGGAATAGTCTGGGGACAATGTTTTGAATATTTTTGAACATTGTTGCAATCTCATTTGACTATTCTTGATTTTCCGTCCAAAATCCGCCTGTAGGGGGACATGCCCGACCTAAGGTTTGGGCCGTGTGATGTAAATTATCTCACACGGCAAAATCATCGACAAAGTTACCTCAGATAATTGTCGATGTGTGTGACGAGCATTGCCCTCCACGTCCATCCCCTCTCCTGCTGTCGCTCCACCCCGTCTGTCAAATTTTTCCTTGGGGGTCGACGGAATAGCGCAAGTCTTTTGAACAGAAAACGACAAAACCATATAAACATTAACGTTTGGCGCTGCGCGCGGACTTCTTGGATATGCGCCCGACCCCCCTCCCTGGCGCGCGGAGCGCGCCAGGGGCGGCGCCGGGGTGCCCGCCGCGGATCCAAGAACTCTGCGCGGAGCGCAGACGGTTTGTGCTCATGGCGTTTTTTCTTCTTCGATCGACGGCGTAGCGAAAGCCTCTCGAAGCACGCTCGTCGCAGCGCTGAAATGAGGAGGAGGAGGAGGAGGAGGAGGGGGAGGAGGAGGAGGAGGAGGAGGAGGACGAGGAGGAGGAGGAGGAGGAGGAGGAGGAGGAGGAGGAGGAGGAGGAGGAGGGGGGGGCGCATCCGACCCCCGCGGCAATGGCCGCGCCCCGGGGCGGGCCATCAGAGCGGCACGGCGCCGAAGACTCCCTGGCGGCCATAAGCAGAGCAACGACCGCCCGGCGCCCGCTCTCCGCACGTGGCTCCGGATCTGCGAAGGATTGCAAAAAAAAACCTTCGTGAACGAAGGATTGCAAAAAAAACCCTTCGTGCAATCCTTCGTGCACGAAGGATTGCAAAAAAACCTTCCTTCGTGCAATCCTGCGCCGCGGGAGCAGGGGAGCGAACAGCGACACAAACAGAACAACTCGGAGGACCGCGCGGGCTCCTCGGATCCGCGCGGAGCGCGCCAGGGGCGGCGCCGGAGGCGCCGCCAAGGGGGTCCCGCGCGGATCCGAGAAATCCGCGCGGGCCTCCGAGTTTTCATGTTTATGTCATTCTTCGTTCCCCCAGAGGGGAATCTCGTGAAAGGTTCCCCCCCACCCTGCCTGCGACTGGCGGTCCCTCGCGGCAGACCTGCGGATGCGCTGCCCGGTCGCGGCTCCGCGGCCCCAAGGCCGCCCCCAGATGGCGCCGCCAGGTTTTCTCGACTAAGACGAAGCCACGACGAGAATTCGCTGGCCCGACGGGCCAGAGGCGTGCTAAGATCTCCGGTAACTGGTTAACAATATTCTAGTTCGCGCGCGCAGGGCCGCCCCTGGGGGTCTCCAGGCGAAAAGTACCCCAGCAGGGTCGGGTCAGAGATGCCGGACCGGGCAATTTTTCGATACCCCTCACGAGGATCGTGGCCTCCGAGGGGGGAGCCACAATCGACTACCCCCTCCCGCCCCAAGAGGCCCCCAAGAGCCCCCCAAGAGGCCCTGGGGTCCCCCCAGACGCCGCCAAGGAGCCCCAAGAGACTCCCAAGAGGTCCCCAAGAGGCCCTAAAGAGGGCTCCAGGGCTGGCGGAATGAGCGAAGCGATTAAATAAGTTCGGATGAAGAGAAATCGAGAATCTCTGAGATCCAGCGACTCTGGAGAATGTCTCGGGCGCGTCCCCGCACACTCTGAGAGCGTTCCTGAACGCTCCGGAACGGATCTATCCCTGTCCCAGCCCCGACCGATGATTGGCCAAGAACGCCCCAAGGGTGGGGATACTCCGAAGAAGCTCCAGGCCCCCCCCCCCGTGGAGGATATGGCTGGCATGCGCGCCGAGCCACGGCTCTCGATGCTGTACGCCTCTTCGCCAAACTCCCAGGGAGCGGCCTATGATGCGCCGCCAGCGTCCTCGATCAAGACGAAGCCAAGACGAGGGCCAATTCGGATGAGGACAAACCGAGAATCTCTGAGATCTGGCGGCTCTGGAGGGTGTCTCTAGCGCGGCGGCCTTCTCGGAGCGCTCCAGTACGCTCTGAGAGCGCTCCAAAACGCCTTGGAACGGACTTATCCGTGTCCCAGCCCCGCCCAGAAGAGTGCTCCGCAGGCTTGGGATACAGTCGCGCCCAGGCCAGAAGCAAATTCCTCAAGAACTTGAGACAATCCGTCGGCCAAAACAAGCAAAACAACTACTGCAGGTTCATGTCGTGCCGACCCTGGCGCTGGTTTCTGACACCACGGGGATCGTTGAACCTTCAACGATCGGCCATGTCCGAAACGTTGGGTCGTTCAGCATCGATCGATTCTGGGTCGCCGACGGCCTTCAACGTTGAACGCCAGCGGCGGGGTCGCCGCTGGTCGACACGACGCAAACCTACCGTAAGGGCACCCTCCCGAGGATGCACGAGGACAGCCAACAAATGCGGAGAACACAAAGGGTCCCCTCCCCGAGCCGACCTCGGTCCCATGCCTCGATCCGCCAGAGAAGCCTCCGGGCCCCCCCCCAGCAAGGACGTGGCTGGCACGCGCGCCGCGCCACGGACTCTCCTGAGACCCGACGCAGCGAAGGAAAAAACAGCCTCGAAGAATCACGCCAGTAGGGAGCCCACAAAGGACGCACGCGCCCAGCTGTGTACATGAACACGGCCCCTCGACTCGCGAGACCGGCCGCGTTGTACGAGCATTTGTGCAGTGCGTGCTCCCGAAACCAGCGTGGATTCATGTACATGTACTCCCGATTTCGTAAT